GATGGGAAAACAATAGAGAACATCAAAAAACCCAAAAGATTGTTCTTTCACAATATCAACAAAATTGATAAAACTTTAGCTAGAGAGAGAGAGAGAAAGAGAAGTCAAATACTAAAACCAGGAATGAAAAGGGGACATCCCTACTAATTTAAAGAAAATAAAAGGATTCTGAAGGAATATTATGAGCAACTAAATGCCACCAGTTAACATAACTTAGGTGAAATCAGTATATTCCCAGAAAGAAAATACTGAAACCAACTTAAGGAAAAATAGAAAATCTTATATATATCTATAACAAGTAAAGAGATTGAGTTAGTGATTTTAAAACTTCCATAAAGAGAAGTTGAAGCCCAGATGGCTTTAGTTGTAAATTCTTCCAATGTTTAAAGATGAATTGATACAGATTTTCACAAACTCTTCCAAAAATAAAGGAAGAACTTCCCCAATGAAAGCTAGTATTACCCTGATGCCCAAACCAAAGACAGCATAAGAAAACTGCAGATCAATATCTCTTATGAATTTAGATGAAAAATCCTCAAGGAAATACTAGAAAATTGAATCTAACAGCACGTAAAATGAATTTTTACCGTGATCAAGTGGATGTATCCCCAGAATGCAAGGTTTGTTTAATACCTGAAAACCAATTAGTGAAATATATCATATCGTTAGAATAAAGAACAAAAACCAATGATCACCTCAATAGATGCAGAAAAAGCATTTGACAAAATCCAGCACCATGTCATGATAAAAACAATATAAACTAGAAACAGAAGGGAACTTTACTTGATAAAGAGCATCTATGATAATCCCCGAGTTAACATCATACTTAATGTTGAAAGACTGAATGCTTTCCCCCTTTCTTATCGGTAACAAGATAAGAATGCCCTCCTCACCTCTTCTATGCAACATTGTACTAGAGGTTCTAGCCTGAGCAATTAAGGAAAAAAAAGAAATAAAAGGCATTCAGATTGATAAAGAAGTAAAACTATCTTTATCCACAGCTGACATGATCTTGGATATGGAAAATCCTTAAGGGATATGCTAAAAAACCTAAATTAATAAATGAGTTCAAGGTTGCAGGATACAAGATCGATATACAATAATCATTTATATCTCTATATACTAGCAATGAAGAATCCAAAAATGAAAACAATTTCATCAGATGGGATTGTATCAAAAGGGATTGCACCAAGAGGAGATAAAATACTTAGGTATAAATTTAACAAAAGAAGTGCAAAACTTGTACTTTACAAAACTAGAAAACATTGCTAAAAAAAAAATTAAAGAGGACCTAAGTAAATGGAAAGACATCTGTATTCATGGATTAGAAGACTAAACATCGTTAAAAGGGCAATACTACCCCCAAATTGATCTACAGATTCAATACAATACCTATCAGAATCCTAGCTGGTTTCTTTGTAGAAATTGGCAAGATGATATAAAATTAATATGGAAGTTCAAGTGACCCAGAGTAGCCAAAACAATCTTGAAAAAGAACAAAATCTGGGGCACCTGGGTGGCTCAGTCAGTTAAGCATCTGCCTTCGGCTCAGGTCATGATCTCAGGGTCCTGGAATCAAGCCCTACATTGGGCTCCCTGCTCAGCGGGGAGTTTGCTTCTCCCTCTCCTCCTCCCCCTTGCTCGTTCTCTCTCTCTCTCTCTCTCAAATAAATAAAATCTGTGACCTTGGGTTAGGTAATGCTTTCTTAGATCCACATCAAAAGCACAGGCCACAACAGAAAAAATAGATTCAAAGGATTTCCTCAATTTTTCTAGCACCATTTGTTGAAGAGACTGTCTTTTTTTCATTGTATATTCTTTCCTGCTTTGTCAAAGATTAGTTGACCAAATAGTTGGGGGTACATTTCTGTGTTTTCTATTCCATTCCACTGATTTATGTGTCTGTTTTTGTGCCAGTACTATACTGTCTTGATGACTACAGCTTTGTAATATAGCTTGAAGTCCGGAATTGTGATGGCTCTAGCTTTTGCTTTTCTTTTTCAAGATTGCTTTGGCTCTTTGGGGTCTTTTGTGGTTCCATACAAATTTTAGGATTGTTTGTTCTAGTTCTCTGAAAAATGCTGGTGGTATTTTGATAGGGATTGCATTAAATGTGTAGATTGCTTTGGGTAGTTATAGACACTTCAACAGTATTTGCTCTTCTGAAACATGAGCATGGAATGTTCTATTTCTTTATGTCTTCCTCAGTTTCTTTCATAAGTGTTCCTATAGTTTTCAGAGTACAGATCTTTTACTTCTTTGGTTAGGTTTATTCCTAGGTATCTTATGGATTTTGGTGCAATTGTAAATGGGACCGATCCTTGATTTCTCTTTCTGCTGCCTCATTGTTAGTGTATGGAAATGCAACAGATTTTGCATTGATTTTATGTCCTACAACTTTGATAAATTCCTGCATCAGTTCTAGCAAATTTTTGGTGGAGTCTTTTGGGTTTTTTACATAAAGTATCATGTCATGTGCAAAGAGTAAAAGTTTGACTTCTTTGCCAATTTGAATGCCTTTTATTTCTTTTTGTTGCCTGATTGCTGAGGCTAAGACTTCCAGTACTGTGAACAACAGTGGTGAGAGTGGACATCCCTTTCTTGTTCCTGACCTTAGGGGAAAAGCTGTTTTTCCCCTTGGAGGATGTATTAGCTGTGGGTCTTTCATATATGGCCTTTATGATGTTGAGGTATGTTCCCTCTATCCCTACTTTGTGGAGGGTTTTTATCAAGAAAGGATGCCTTATTTTGTCAAATGCTTTTTCTGCACCATTACTACTCAGCCATAAAGGAGAATGAAATCTTGCCATTTGCGGTGATGTGGATGGAGCTAGAGTGTATTATGCTAAGAGAAATAAGTCAGTTAGAGAAAGACAAATATGTTATGATTTCACTCATATGAAGAATTTAAGAAACAACAGATGAATGTAGGGGAAAGGGAAAAAAAGAGAGGGAGGCAAACCATAGAAGAGACTCTTAACTATAGAGAACAAACTGAGGATTGCTAGAGGGCAGGTAGGTGGGGGATGGGATAAATGGGTAATGGGTGTAAAGGAGGGCACCTGTTGTGATGAGCACTGGGTGTTATATGTAAGTGATGAATCACTAAATTCTACTCCTGAAACTAATATTACACTGTATGTTAACTAACTGGAATTTAAATAAAAACAAACAAAAAAACAGTTGAATTGTACCTTTAAGTGGGTGAGTTGTATGGTATGTAAATTATAATCCAATAAAGCTATCGCCAAAAAGAAGTGATTCTAAAAAAAAAAATTGACACTCCATTTTATATTCCTCCTGGCAGAGTGTATGAAATTGCCATTGCCCATTTTAATGTTAATATGCACTAAGAAATTTGCCAATTTGATAAACCACAACAGTGGTTCAACTGAAAGAGATTTTGCTCCCCTGTGGCCATTTAGCATCGTCTGGAGACTTTTCTTTTTAAGATTATTTATTTATTTATTTATTTGAGAGAGAGAGAGAGAGAGAGTGCACGCATAAGTTGGGGGAAGGTCAGAGGGAGAGGGAAAGAGAGAAGCAGACTCCCTGCTGAGCATGGAGCCCAACACAGCTCGATCCCAGAATGCTGAGATCATGATCTGATCCTAAGTCAGACACTTAACTGACTGAACCACCAAGGTGCCCTTGGAGACAGTTTTGATTGTCACAACTGGGGTGGAGGGATGCTATTGGCCTCTAATGAGTAGAGGTATGCTGCTAAATATCCTACAGTGCATAAGGCACCTCCCTACACCAAATAATTATCCAACCCAAAACATCAGTAGTGTCAAGATTAAGAAACCCTGGACTAGAAATAGCATCTTGTTTCATTTTGTATTTATTTGATTATTAGTAAGGGTAGTTTTTTTTCCATATGTTTACTAATGAGTTGTATTTTGTAAATCTTCCTTTTGTATCATTTGTTCATATTTCTCATCATTTCATATGAGTTCCTTTTAGTAGTAAGATTTAACTTATTGAGTTTTTTTAAAAATTTTTTTAAAACTTGAGCATCTTTTGGGATGAGCACTGGGTGTTATATGCAATTAATGAATTGTTGAACGGTACAACAAAAACTTATGTACTATATTTTGGCTAACTGAACATAATAAAAAAAAAACTTGAGTATATTTGACACACAATTTTACATTACTTTCGGTGTACAACATAATGATTCAATAAGGTTATACAGTGTAGCTACCATTTGTCACCATACAAACTGAGTTTATATTCTTCCAGTTGTTTCCTTGTAAATTTTGGTTAGGTTTATATTGACTATTGCTATGTTTATTTTTTATATGGTTATACATCATTTTTAATTGTATCTAGTCTAGACAGTCCTTCCCCTATCTGTTCACTCCTACCCCATAATTTCATCTTTATTAAATTCTCTTAGAGTTTTATTTTTTCACATTTAACTTTTTAAATGTATGTATAATTTATTATAATGTGTATTATGAGATAAAGAATACTTTTTTCCTAAATAGCAATATCTGGTTTTCCTCCTTTTGAAGAAACATTTGGCTTACAGAGCATTTTTGAGGCTCAAGAAAACCTTCAAAAAAGAAGCTTTCCACAGGTTAATGCAAGAGAGGGAATGTGCAGTTACTCCTTATCTTCCTTAACTATGAAGGACAATAATATTCTACAAGGTAGTTAGGTGTTTGTAACTCACCTAACTCAGCACAAAGCAGTGTCATGTATAGCACCATGTCAGTCTTGCAAAAATATATAAAGAAATATAAATGCTGGAAATGGAAATCCTTTGCAGTTCGGGATTATTAATGTTAAATTAATGAAGTTTTTTATATGATCAGAGAGTTGGAGAAAGTGATACTCTGTGTGTGTACGTTTGGTAAGAAGGAAGACATAATTTCTAATTAAGAAATTAAAAGGGATTGTCAGTTTATAACATACAGAAATTTTATGAGTTTCTGATAATAATCAGTTAAATGAATGGGAATAAGTATAAATATCTTCCTATTATCATACAGATGGAGAATGAATTAGATTCTGCTCGCTCTGAAATAGAACTCCTCAGGAGTCAGATGACAAATGAGAGAATCTCCATGCAGAATCTAGAAGCTTTGCTGGTGGCCAATCGAGACAAAGAATATCAGTCTCAGATAGCGCTTCAAGAAAAAGAATCTGAAATTCAGCTTCTTAAAGAACACCTTTGTTTGGCAGAAAATAAAATGTGAGTTGGCTAGCAATTCAGTAGCATGAAGTCATATTTTTAAAATTTTTGATACTTTATAGGTTAGTAGAATTTTAAAGCTGGAATTTAGGCAATTTAGTGCCCATCTTTTGCCATTAATTAAACTGAGAACCAGAAATACTGTGATTTGCCTAAGATTTAGTACTCGTTTCTATTGTATGTTTATCTAAATTTAAAATTTAACCATCTTTGTTGATTATTTCCAACAGAGATTTGGATATAATAGAATGTCTGACCTAAAATATTACCTTTTACAAATATTATAGCAAGTTTTTAGAAAAAAATTAAGCACTACTGAAACCAGAGGAATTTTTCTGTTTATGGACCCACCTGGTATTGCTGCCTAGTATTTAGACTTGTCACTTAGTATTTCCTTATGCACCTTTAAGTATATGTTGGGTACCTGGAAGAACTCCTACATTCACAGAATACTGAAGACTTCCCTTAGAGCACTGATTTTGGGTTTTTTGTTTTTTGTTTTTTTAAGCATCCCTAGCTCCATTAGCATCTTATTATAAGACCCTTGGCTAGAAGGTTGGGTAGAAATGCCTGCCTGGACACTGAATGTTTTATTATTAAACTTGGTGACCTCTCACAAAAACTGATGGGGACTCTTAGCCTCTATTGTTATCTGTCCCATCTATAACACTTTTTCATCCTCAGCTCTGCCCTCCCATCTGAGCATGGGACCTGGGGGCGGGGAAGGATAAGAATCATGGTCTCAGGAATCAGTCACTCCTAGGAGCCCCTGACTGAGCAAAGGCTGCAAAGCCAGGGCCAGTTTCCTTGACAAACTGTTTTCAGGTTATGGCAGCTGTGAGTCATTCTTTTCTGTCACTGTAGCTGGGCTTTTGTAATATCTTCAGCTGGTTCTGCAGGATCACTTTCTCAAGCTGGTATTTGGAAATCTGTCTTAGTGAAATATGCCCAACCCCCTCACCTTTAGGGATGCATTCCGTTTTAGACTGGTTGGTAAGTACAATCACTTAGAACTGGTAAGCATAATAAACTTTTGTGTTCTTAATCTCTAAAGTTTAGATTTTAGCAGTCAACAGTACTGTCTGGCAAGCAGAGAGGATAGAATATCCTGTGCAAGCAGCATTCATTGCTTTCATCATCTTCCTTATGACAGTGTGCCTTATCACAGAGTTTCTGAGGCATTGTTTGGCCCTAAGGAGGATCCTGTTAAATTGAAGAGATTTTATGTTTTTAACAGTTTGTATATCAAATTTCATTATAAGTATATACAAAATACTTGATTTAATAAATATATATAATAGGACTAATAATGGTGTTGATTATTTGTTTATAATACTACTTTGCATATAATACCTTAAAGTACTTTAAAAAATAAATAATATAGATAACCTATAATATTATCCCATCTAAACATAGGGAAACAGAGAAGGTCTAACTAATTGAATGGGACTGAGAGATCTTAGCTTTTTCAAGTAGGCTACTTTCACATTTACTACTTCTAAAATTGGCACATTTTAAATGTACTAATACGTCCATAAAAATCACAGTCTGGCATGGTTCCAGCTGAGGAACCATTGCCAACATGGTTTAATGTACTAAGTCCTAGCCATATTTTATATTTAATCAACTGTCACTCATACTTTTTTACACAGGGCCATCCAGAGTAGAGATGTGGCCCAGTTCAGAAATGTTGTAACACAGTTGGAAGCTGATTTAGACATTACCAAACGACAACTAGGGACGGAGCGCTTTGAAAGGTAAGTTTGTCTCTATGCAGTGTTCAGTCTGGAAAGCACTTTTTTTTTTTTAAATAACAAATTTTGGTAATTTCATGATAGTTAGCTTTTAAATTAGGAACTGAACTACAGTTTTATTACAGTATTAATACAGCACTGTATATAAAGTTTAAAAGCCTCACTATTTTGTTTCAGGGAGAGGGCTGTACAAGAACTTCGCCGCCAGAATTACTCAAGTAATGCTTATCATATGAGTTCCACAATAAAGCCAAATACAAAATGTCATTCACCAGAACGTGCTCACCATCGATCTCCTGACCGAGGCCTAGATCGATCGTTAGAAGAGTAAGTAGTTCAAGGATCCATTCTCTGGAGACCATATAGCAATATACAGGGAATATTTGAGGGAGTAAGGAAGCTCAAATCAATCTATCATTAATAGTGCTATTTAAACACAATTACATGATTAGGTATACCGACAAATATAAAGTATTTTGATCATTAGTTTTATATAAATTTGCTAAAATGAAAGATCTTCATTCTATCTAATGTTTACATAAATTATATTTTTAAAATCTACTTTTCTTTTTATTCTAAAACTTAAATTTTTCCATATACTTACATTAACAAAATATTGGTTAATTATAGCACCATAAAATACTTATTCTTTAGGAAAGTAGTTTATTTTTCAGAGGAAAATATTTTAGATATATTCATATATGTCACGAATTTTGTAAAAACACTTCTATTTGGAAATAAATTCAAACTTATAAGAAGTTATAAAGATAAAATAATGCAGAGAACAGCTATATACCTTTTACCCATACTCACTGTCATTAAAATTTTACTCCATTTGCTTTCTCTGTGTTTGAGTCAACACATTTGCTGTCTTATGAACTCACATTTTTGCATATGTTTCTGCTCTCTCCGTGCACACACGGACACACACACACACACACACATTTTAAAAACATAACCAATACCTCCAGTTCCAAACCACCTTCCCAGGTTTCTTCCTTCCCTTTTTTCATTTTGTATTTGTATCTCCTTTTTTCTACAGTGAGAACCCTGGCTCAACATCAGTGTGTTTATCAACAATATGTACGTGTTACTCTTTTGCTCAATCCCAGAGTGCATCTAAAATAGTTTCAAAATTTCTTCACCTATGTCACTACATTAAATAGACCAACATAAAAGTTCATGATCTATTTGTAATTCCTGTTTCCATACACTACTCCCCTCAAATCTTGAGGGCATAGCATATAGTCAAATACTGAGTTTATAAATTACTTGGATTAATTGCTTTTTTCCCCTTTTACTATGATTATGATATGCATTTAAAATAACATTAGATTCATTTACTTCAATTTGCTTTCACTTTTCATTTTTCCCTTTCTAGTTTTTTCCTTGATTTAGCTTTATTTTTGAATATGTAGGTTAATATGCTTTTAAAAGTCAAAACTCTGCAAAAAGTAATACTCAGAGAAGTGTTACTTTCTCCTGTATATCCTCCATTCCATGTCCCGTCCCCCATATTGCTTTATAGTTTTATGATAGTGACATTCAGATATATTTTTCTTATTTTTCTTTCCATATGCAAAGGTAGCATACTATATATGCTTCTTTTCACTTTGCTTTTCTCACTGCTTTTAGAAGTCACTTCATATTCATAGTGTTCCTTTACAGCTGCATAGTATTCCATTTTATGGATGTACCATAATTATGCAACTGACCTCCTATATTTGGACATTTAGGTAGTTTTCAACAATTTGCAGTTACAAATAAGGCTGTAATGAATGTGTTTTCGTATTGGTGGAGGTGTATCTTAAGGATAAATTCCCAGAAGCAGGATTTCTGGGTCAAGGGGTAAATGTGTATGTATATAGTTTGGTTAAGTAGTGCCAAATTCCCCTCTATAGGGGTTGTAGTATTTTGCACTCCCACCAGCTATGGGTGAGAGTGCCTGTTTCCCTGCAGCCTAATCAGCAGAGTATACTGTCAAGTTCTGAATTTTTGCCAGTATGGTGGGTAAGAAATGGTATTTCAGTGTAGTTTTAATTTGCATTTCTCTTTTTATGAGTGAATTTGAATATCTTGTCATATGTTTAAGGGCTGTTTTATATCTCTCTTTTTTTAATTGTCCATTCCATTTTTCTAATGGAATATTCTCTTTTTGTTAAATTTTTTTATAAATGTGGGAAATTAATCTTTTATTACTGATATATGTTGCAAATATTTTCTTCCATTTTTGTCATTTTGCTTTTGATTTTACTCTATTTTTCCCATGGAAAAGTTTCTATTTTTATGTAAATTTTTAAATGTATTTTAAGCATCCACATTTCTGTTTATACTTAGAAGAATCTTTCCTTATAGCCAGATAGATAAAGAAGAAATCAGTGTTTTTAGTTTAAATGTTTTAGTACTTATATAAGTTTTGTATATACATACACTATATATAAGTAAAACCACATATACATATGGTTTTACTTTTTACATTTAGATTTCTGATCCATTTAGAGTTTATTTTGTATATGGTATGAAGAGTGGATCTAATTTTACTTTTTTCCAAATGACTAACCAGTTGTCCCAAGATCATTTATTAAAAAGATTTTGTCCAAGTGATTCAAGTCTCTCTCTGGACTTTCTCTTCTGTTCCTTTGGGTTTATTTATGTTAAAGTCCCACACTATTTTAATTATAGACCCTTTGTAATATTTTTAATTTTTTAGGACTAGGCTGATTGTTTGCTGGTAAACTGGCTGTCCAAAAAAGGGGAGGGAGAAGCCCTGGTTTGTAGCATTTGTCAATTTCAGTGGTGTAAAATGCCCACTGTGGCCAGTTTCCTGGCCAGTTTGTTTGCTTCTTTCTTTCTTTCCTTCTTTCTTTCTTTTTGTTGAAGTGCAGTTGACATACAATGTTATCATAGTCTCAGGTGTACAATACAGTGATTACACAATTCTATACATTCTATAAATATATTATACAGTTTCAAGCTACCAAAGCTAGTTTAACCACCAGCTCACAAAATTTCTGAATATTTACAATCAGCTGTGAGCCAGCTCCAGCATACCAATAGGCTAGTGCCTATAAGAACTCTTCCTTTTAAGTATTTGCCTACATTTTCATGTGAGTTTATTTTCCATATTACATAACTACTGAATCGTTGAACACTGCAACAAAAACATGATGTTCCATCTGAAATTTAGTGTCAGCTTGTCTAGCTCAAATTTGAAAAGCCCATTGGAATTTTTATTAGAATTGCATTAAATTTATAAATTAACTTGGGGAGAACTGGCATCTTGGTAATGTTGAGCTGTCCTAACCAAAAAAAAGAAATGTCTTTCCATTTTTTCAAACTCACATTGTGTCATTCAAGAATAATAATAAAAAAATAAAATAAAATAAAATAAAAAGCTTTTTTTAATTAAAAAAAGAATGTGTGGCAGTTTTCTTTATATAGGTTTTGAACATTTCTTAAGTTTATTCCTAAATATTTTATCTTTAGGTTTTTCTCCCCATTCATTTTATCTTCAAAAAATGCTATTTTCGCATGTTAATTTATCATCATGTTATCTTGCTAAATTTTTTTATTGTTTCATTAAGTTTTGTCATTGATTCTTTAGGGGAGTCGAGGTATGTTATCATGTCATCTGCAAAAAAGGGATCATTTTATTTCTTCTTTTCCTATTTTTATCTCTTGAATTGTATTCTCTAATTGCAATAGCTAGCATCTTCAGAATAGTGATAAATAGTAGTGGAGAAAATGGGCATCCTTGTTTTGATTCTGACCTTAAGGGGGAATGCCTCTAGGGTTTGTCAAATCAATGTAAGATGTTGGGTTTAGGACTGAAGTATAAATGTTTTATGATATCCGCCTATTTTTATTTTCTCAGGAATTTTTTTTTTATTAGGAATGGGTGTTTAATTTTTTCAAGAGCTTTTTCAGCATCTATAAAGATACAGTTTTTCTCTTTAGAACTGTCAATATGTGAATTATATGAAAAGATTTTCATATATTGAACCATCTTTGAATTTATGGTATAAACCTTACTTGGTCTAGGTGTATTCTATTCTTAATGTTCACTTATATTTTATTTTAGATTTGTGTGTCAATATTTGTAATATTGGTCTATAACTTTTTTCTTTGTACTCTCTTAGCAAGTTTAGATGTAAGTGTTATATTTGCTGCAAAAAAGGATTTAAAGTTTTTCACTTACTGTGCTTTGAAACAATTTGTGTAATTTGTGATTATCTGATCTCTAAGGATTAGTTTGGGTTCACCTGTGAAACCATACAGCCTTGGTTCTTTCTTTTTTGTGAGGTATACTTCCTTGATAAATTTTTCTGTTTTTTCTTGGGGGGGGGATTGTTTTAAGCTTTCTATCTATATTCGTCTAAAAATAATTATTTTCTTTAGGGCTTTTTTTAAAGATTTTATTTATTTGAGAGAGAGAGAGCATGAGTGCATGCACAAGCAGGGGAGGGGCAGAGGGAGAGGGAGAAGCAGACTCCCCACTGGAGTCTCAATGTGGGGCTCATCCCAGGACCGTGGGATCATGACTTGAGCTGGAGGCAGATACTCATCCAACTGAGCCATGAGGTGCCTCTCTCTAAGTTTTTGAATTTATTTGCATAAAAGTAACCAATGCTTTAAAATTCATAAGATATGAATTTTAAAATTTCCTTTGTATCAATAGTTATATCCCATTGTTGTTTCTTAATTGTATGTATGTGCTTTCCTCTTCTGTTTCTTGGTTACCTTAGCCAGTGATTTGTTTACTTTGTTTATTGCTTCAAAGAACCAGCATTTTGATTTATTGATTTATTTTTCTTTATCTTATTAATTTATGGTTTTGTTCATATTTCTTTCCTCTGCTTTTTATTTACTTTGTTGGTTTTTTTCCCCTTAGTATTTTAAGTTAGGAATTTAATTCATTTATTGCCATTCTTTCATTCTTATTGATGTAAATATTTAGGGCTATGAATTTTCCAGTGATCAGTGCTTTAAATGTATCCAATAGATTCTAATATGTCGTGTTTTTGTTATTATTTTTTTAGAAATTCTTTAATTTCTATTTTGTTTTCACTTTTACCCAAGAGTTATTTGATAGAAAATCTTGTAGTTTCCAATAAGAGCTTTTTGTGTTTCCATTTCATTTTTAAATTTCTAGTGTTATTGTATTGTGATTAGAGAGTATTGTTTATAATATTTCTCTCATGGAAGCTACTGATGTTTTCTTTGTACTTTACTACATGATTAATTTTTGTGGATAGTTCATGTGCACCTGAAAAGATGTATTCTTTCTTATCAGGGTATATATTTCTAGTGTATATATCTCTAAAAGATTTTCCTTTTTGATTTTATTTAGTTCTTTTATGTCATTGCTTAATTTTTGTTCACTTGACCTGTTTTACTAAGAATGGTACTTTAAAATCTCCTTTTATTATTATGTTTTTATTTCTTTTTATATCTCCTATAAATTTTGTTTTATGTAGGTTTACTGCTTTATTTGCTGCATGGATATTCTGAACTGTCATATCTACATTTTGGGATATGAATTTTATGAAGTGTACTTTTCTGATGCATTTAATTTTTTGGAGGTGGAAGGTGCTTGTCTAGTATTAGAGTTGCAAATACTTAATATCTTCAACTGCCTTGCAAATTTTTGTCGATCTCTTTATTTTTAGCTTTTCTGAGTGACTGAATTTTAAGTATATCTCTTATTTATAGTATGGATTTAAGTTTTGCTTTATGAGTCATTTTAAAATAATGGATGAGGTAAGCTTTTTCACATTATTGATATGACTGTGAAATTTGATCTGAACTCTCATATTATCTTATGATAACTGTGTTTATCATGTGACATTTATTGTATTTCTCAATTTGGCTCTTTGCTTTTGGTCATTTCTTTTGATATTCAAGGTTTGCATTTTATTATAGTAGTCACCTTTCTATTAATAATTTTAATAGTGCCATTAATTCCCTTTTTTCTTAATCTTTTGCTGTTAGTTTTAAATGGTATATTTTGACTGCCACCTATTACCTAGACAACAGTCAATGTACTTAATTTACTTTCCCCAACCACTGATCTGTTCACTGGCCCTATAGTTTTACCTTTTCAAAGTTGTCCTATAAATGGAATCATGTATATAGCCTCTAGTAGCTGACTTTGACACAGCATAATATATTTGAGATATATCCAGGTTGTTGTATGGATCAGATGTTGTTGCATGTTCCTTTTAACTGCTGAGCAGTATTTCCTTGTATGTCTGCACCACAGTTTTGTTTGCTTTGTTATACTTTTTATTTTGATTTTTTTAAAAAGATTTTATTTATTTATTTGACAGAGAGAGACACAGAGAGGGAACACAAGCAGGGGGAGTGGGAGAGGGAGAAGCAGGTTTCCCTCAGAGCAGGGAGCCCAATGCGGGGCTCGATCCCAGGACCCCGGGACCATGACCTGAGCCGAAGGCAGATGCTTAATGACTGAGCCACCCAGGCGCCCCATTTCTTTTTATTGTTGAATATTATTCCATATTATGGAGGTATCACAGTTTGTGAAAGCTGAATAAAAAAAATACGTTGTATATGTTTTCTTTCACAGAGGCTGGGAAAAAAATTTTAAGTATTGCCAAAATAATGTCAGAATACATTTTTTTATACATCAGTGAAATCTTTGAGTTAAACATATTAATGTGCAATTTTTTCCTCTCTCATAGGAATCTTTGCTATAGAGATTTCTGACACACGAAGATTCTTCACATCCTTGGGAAAGGTCAAAGTTACAAACTGATTTTTTTTTTGCTACATGATTGCATTTATCTTTTGAATGCTTGACAATGTTAAATGTATTTATTAACTTTGTGCCTCTGAATCTCTGTTCTCCTGTGCCATATTGCAGTGATCTGAGATGACTTATAAAAACAAAAATGCATATGGCTCTTTCTATCCGTGCAGTAATAGTGAGTGTAAAATCTGCTTACTTCACTATTGAACACTGTTATGTTAACTATCCGGAGTAAATAAAGAAGCTTATAAAAAGAGGGAAAAGTGTTTTTACAAAACTGATTTCCTTTCCTTTCCTTTCTTGATATCTCAAATAATTGGTTAAATTTTTTCTTTGTGATTTATGCTTTCATTGCTGGAGAAGTTGTGCCAAAATGAGCAAAGTTTACCAATACTGGCCTGGGACCCAATATTCCATTTGGGAACCAACCTGACATAATTTCCAGGCCATAATCTGATTTCAAAGCAGCAGATAGTAGGAGTGTGTCAGAGTTTTTAAATCCATAGTATTGTACCACTAATTAACATACATTTTCTGCAATTGTGTTTACCCGTACTATTTTTAGAAAGGTAGGTGATGCTATATTTGTCAAGAATGTAAGATTTTTTTAAAAATCTGTATTTTAATAAGTTTTCCTTAAAATATTAAAGTACTGCAATCAACTTAATTGCCATTTTATTTATTTATTTATTTGCCTGTTGCAGGTGTCTGTAACGTAGAGTAACAAGTTTAGTGATGTTTTCTTATTTCTCCTAAAATTTCCTAAATCTCTTACCTTTTCTCTCCATAGGCTTTGATTTAATGTTGATATTAAAGCCTGGCACTACTGTATTTTATTGATTGATATTTGTATTCTTGCCATTTTAATAAAAAAAAAAGTCCTGTCATTAATAATATTCATATGAAGTAGACAGTTTCTCATTTTATATAGTTACTATGCAGTATCACTACAGTAGGACAGTGCCCTGATTTAGGTCTTGTTTAATCACTAGCACTCTGATATTTTACTATAAATTCATGCTATATATTCACTTTAGTTTGATTTTTAAAAACCTTGAGGTTTACTCATCTAGCTCAAGGCAGTCATCACAGATTGGTTTTAAAAATTGAAAAATTTTTTAAAATAAGATGTCCTTTTTATAAACATTTTAGAGAATAATATGCAAAAAAGTTGTTCTTTCTAATATTAAGTAATATACTGATAAATATGTGAAATTAACCTTTGGTAGGTGATACAATGACCTAAGCACTAGGTCACCACAGCATTAATTTTAGTCTATGTACCTCCTAGGAGAGCTGGAGTTGAGTGTCATCTGTCATTTGTATTTAACATATGTTGTATGTTGAGGGCAGTATGTGGGGAGAGGAACATAAGAGACTAGGAATGAAGGATGTGAGAAAATATTTCCATACTTGATTAGAAGTATACTGTACTTGACTTTTGCTGTTAATTACAGAATATTTAAAGGAAAATTATATGCTAATTATGAAGGGGTCAACATTATCCAAAGGTTGGGAAACTGCAACTGTATTCTATGTTAAAACTCAAAGAAAGGATTTTTTCTTATGGTAGTATTTAAGAACACATATCATTTTAAATGAGATTCTAATCACTTGAGATAAATATATAATAGCCTACTGATATGGTAGGACTACCATAAAATACACAATGCAAAAACTATAGGAGACATATTCTTTTCTTAATGACAAAAAAATCTGAAAAAGAGCTCTCCACTTTGAAATGTCATGTTCAGTACAAAGCATCCACTCTTGCTGAAGTAAGGGTGTTTTGAAAGAAGATTGTTAACCCTCCAAGTTAAATATCTCATGGGCGTTGTGTTTCATTCAGTACATCTAAACTAAATTCAACAATGTCTCCCCCTTGCATCCTCTATCTTTGTTTCCCATAGTAGAGTGTCATCAGCTACCATGTCAGATGCCTGAGCCCTGTGCCCACATGCCATCTCTGGTCACTCCATTCCCCTCTCACTGCACACATTCAGTCAACTTCCTACTACACAATATTGCTGAAAGAAATTAATGAAGACCTAATTAAGTGAAAAGACTTCCGACATTCATGGATTAGAAGGCTTAATATTGTTAAGATGGCAATATTCCCCCAAACCATCTTCAGGTTAAATACAATCCTTATTAAAATCCCAGTGGAGTTTTGTTTTGTTTTGTTTTGTTTTTGTAGAAATGGGAAAGCCAATCTTAAAATTTATATGGAATTGCAAGGGATCCAGAATAGCCTAAACAGTCTTGAAACAGAAGAACGAAGTTGGAGGATCCACATTTCCCAATTTCAAAAGTTACTACAAAGCTGCAATAATCAAAATAGTGTAGTATTGGCATAAGGACAGACATATGGATGAATGGAATAGAATTGAAAGTCCAGAAATAAACCCATCATCTATGGTCAATTGATTTTTGACAAAGGTGCCAAGACCATTCAATGGAGAAAGAATAGTCTCTTCAACAGTGATGCTGGAACACCTGGATAACCATACGCAAAAGAGTGTAGCTTGACCCTTACACACCACATACAAAAATCAACTCAAAATGGATCATAACTTAAATTTAAGTGCTAAACTATAAAACTCTTTGAGGAAAACATAGAGGCAAATCTTCATAGCCTTGAATGACAAGCAACAACACGAATAGATAAATTGGACTTCAGCAGAATTAAAATCTTAGTGCACCAAAAGGCACTATCAAGAAAGTGAAAGATAACTTAAATAATTGGACATAATTTTTGCAAATCATGTATCTGATAAGGCTGTTAATATCCAGAAAAATAGTTTTTACAACCTGACAACAAAAACTAACCCAATTTAAAAATGGGCAAAGGACTCGAATGGGCAGTTCTCTAAAGAAGGTATACCAATAGTCAATAAGTACATGCAAAGATACTCATTCTCATTAGTTATTAGGGAAATGGAAATCAAAACTACAATAACATATCACTTCACGTGCACTAGGATGTCTATCATAGGTAAGATAGACAATAACAAATACTGATGAGGATGTGGAGAAATTGGAACCCATTGCTGGTGGAAATACAAAATGGTGCAGCCACTGTGGGAAACGGTTGGGTGGTTCCTTAATAAATTAAACATAGAATTACCATATGACCCAGATTTGACTCCTAAGTATATATCCAAAAGAATTGAAAAAGTATTCAAATATTTGTACATGAATTTTCATAGCAGCTCTAATTCAAAATAAGCAAAAGGTAGAAACAACTCGAATGTCCAACAACTGATGAATGAATAAACAGAATGTAATAATCCCTACAGTGGAATATTAGTCATAAATATGAATGAATTACTGATACATGAATAACCCTTGAAAACTAAGTAAAGGAATCCAGACATAAAACCACATATTTTAAGATTCCATTCATATGCAATATCCACGATAGGCAAATCCATAGAAACAGAATGCAGATTAGTGGCTGCCATAGGGCAATGGGGAGGGTCTGCTTAGTGGGGACACGGTTTCTGTTTAGGGTGATAGACAAGTTTTAGAACAAGATAATGGTAATGGTTATACAACATTACAAATGCACTTAATGCCACTGAATTGTACAATTTTAAATGATTAAAATGGTAAATATTATGTATATTTACCACAATAAAAAAGTCATTTTCTCAAGTTTTCTCTGACTCCTGACATTGGCCTAACTGGGTCAGATTCTAAAACACCCAGTATTTCTCCTTTAGAGAACAGTTATAATTATTTGTGTAAGTATTTTTCTCGTATCTGTCTTCTGTATTGTAAGATAAGGCAAGGGATGATATCTACGTTCACCATCGTATCTGCTAGAATGTAGCACAGTGCTTGACACATACTAGGTATCCTATAAATTCTTCTGGAATAAATAAAGGAATGAATTATCCCCATTTCCCGGCAAGTCTATCTCATAAATATCTTTGGAATGAATCTACTTTTTTCTCACTGTAATCCAGACCATAATAACCCTTAATCTAGTATAATGCAACTGCCTTCTATTTGCTCTCTCTTCTTTCAGTCATACTTCCATTTAATCCATTCTCTACATCATAATCAAAGAAATAGTTTTATAACACAAATACAATCACATCCCTCTCCACACACATACCCTGTGAGTACCAAGTCTGGCATGATACTAAAGTCCAAGCTCTTTAACATTGCCCTCACAGGCCTCTCTGATTTGGTTCTTTTTTTATCTCTTGAGTGTCGTAACTCATCCCTCCTACATTATAATTATATATTATAGTTATTCTGAATTACTTTCAGCGCTTGGAACAGTTTATGCTCTTTTATCTCTTGGCCTTTGCACATGTTCTTTCCTCTGCCTGGATCACTCATTTTTTCCTCTCCCTTTCCCCTTCCCAGCCTGGAAAAGTCTTGTTTGGCTTAACATTGTGTCCTCAGCCCCTGTCATAGTGCCTGGCACATAGTATGTGCTCAACAAATATTTCCTTTAAAAAATGAAAGTCTAACTAGATTTCTTGTCTATGTTCTATGTATTCTTCTATTTGTTATTAATTTTACTTATCCTTTGTGCTCCATTGCATTCTTTATTATGTGGTCTTGTTTGTATGACATACCTGCTAGACTGTGAGCTCCATGAAGGCAAGGAGAATAGTCTGATTTATTTATCATGGTACAGACTATGCTAGGATTATGGTGGCTTCCAGTTGGTATATATATTCATTGAAAGAATATAGAATATAGGTGGTTAAAAATCATAGGTTCTAGAGTCACACTGCTTGACTTTGAATCATGTCTCTACACTTACTGTGTACTTGATTAAGTTAAACTTTCTAAACTTTTTTCCTTATTTGTAAAAGATGTGTCTATAATAGTACCCAGCTCAAAATAGTAGCATGTGGATTAACTGAGATAATAATATATCTAGAGTGTTTAGTCTCAGTACAATATCAGACAATATAGTAGATGGTCAGTAGATGTTTTTATTATTTGTTGAATTAAAGAAATCTATAGGTTTGAGACTTAAGAGAGAAAACTTGGCTGGAGAAAAAGATTTGGTAGTCCGCAGCAGGTATGGGATAAGAGATCAAACAAATGAAAAACAAGATAGGGAAAACAAAGTAGTTCAGGAAGAGAAAGATTAACCATGGTTTACCAGATGGCTTCAGTTGTAAATAGTACATCATCATCATCATCATAATGTGAATGCCAAATATAAATCTAAGCAAAATTACAAAATTAATTAACGAGAAGATGAAGGAAGAGGAAAGAAGCAATGTGTGATAAAAACCTGGCAAGGAACTAAAGCTAAATTTTCTTCTTTCATAGTGGGAATTGAATAGATAATGCCTAAAACTGAAAAATCAAGAAATAACAATATAAGTATGTTACTTAGAGACAAGGATACCTAAACAATCAACTAAAGAGGTAAAAATGATTGCCTTTGGGAGAAGGGAATGCAGAGGTGAGAATGAGGCTGGCTGAAGACTGTTGTCCTTAATAACCTTGAAGAACTATTTGAGTCTTTTTTAATATTAATTAAAATAAAAACAAAATGCATAAATATTAACTTTTTATATTCTTTTGTTTTAAGAGAGAAGATGAGAGATAGGTCAATAGCTAGAAGGCTTTTGAAGTCTCTAATCCCATCAGCGCTAAATTATTTTACCCTTCTCTGACCTCCCATTAAAATGCTTAACCCTTAAAAAAAAAAAAAAGCTTAACCCTTTTAAGCATGTATCATGTAATTAATTGCCTTGTATTACATCTACTTGTCTTCATGTTTTCATTTTCTAATAGACTTTGGATATTCTGAGGTGAAAGAATATACTTTTACTCATTTGTATCTTTACCCCCAGCCTTTGCCTATTCAAAGCAGTGCTTCATACATGACAGGTAGTCTTTAAATGTATGTTGA